ACTGATTTCATATAGTGACAATGAAATATAGTACCCAAATAACTTCGTACGTTTTTATGGTACTTAATGCGAGCATGTCAAGCGCGTACAATTGTATACTCATTTTAGGGTAAAATATCTGATACACTATGTGACTATCAAATAAATTAGTTAAATTCTATTGATTAACTTGTGCTCAGTTGTGTGACTGATTCGAATGCCTTTCCATTCCTTCCAGTATTCCTCTGTTTAATTGTCTGTTTATCTGTCTCTCTACTAGCTGTATTCCATCATTGAATTAAGTAACTTGTTAATGTAAATCCTGTGGCATTTGTAGCAATTTGATCTTGCTTGTAAACTAGTATGCCTCTTGTGACATGTCGTTATCTGAGAATATACCTTTAATATTTTAAAATATTCTGTAAAGTGAAGAAGGATATTAATTTGGCGTTAAATTATAGGTGATAAGTTTTCATAACTATGATTTACAAATGGAATAAACAGTGCGTTATGTATAAAACATAGAATTCAATGTTTAGTATCACTGAGAGCTAACATAAGTGGTAACAAAGTAGTATCAAAGAGAACGAACTCATACTTATCAAACGATACAGTTTCTGAATGCGAGAACGGATATTAACAAGTAAGTAGATTGCAGCAGGAGGAAAACGAAACCACCACAGCATCTCGATGAAGCAATCTGTCTAGGTATTTGGAAGAAAATTCATAATTTTATGACAGTAATAATCTTGATAATCTGTTTCTGATGTAAGAGCTGCATGTCGTGTTTAGAAGTATGATCTGTAATGCAAAACAAAAGATCATGCGTAAGATACTTTTCCAGGTGAGTTCTCAAAAAGCATACATCTGTATATCAGGGGACTTCTACAGTGAACCATTCGCGGAGATGTGTGAGTTAACTGTTTATCAGATACGAGTTATAGAACTAAGTAATAAGTCTATAGCTGTCATGAAGTAATGAGGATATAAAATAAAACTTGGCAGTAGAATAACGGACCAGCTAGAAACAGTTAAACGGATTGTCTATATGCTCGATAAACTAGCGAAATTGAAGGTGTTCTTATTGAGGTTTAGGAAATTCAGTACCGTCCAAAGATCTATTCCTATCGGTACCTAACTCGCCAATCTTTCACAAACCCAAAGAAACCGGAAAAGCTAAGTGTGGTTTCTTGACTGTTCAGATAAATGTCCTGGAGCTTACGTAAACAATTGATTTGCGTGGAGCCAGGCAGCACAGCTTATCTGCTGAGTATGTTTTTACATCTTCATGAATAGCTTGTATCCATTTCTGATGACTCGAAAGAAATATTCAGGAAAGTGAGGGGACCTGAGCCTAATCGAGGGAACTTAAAATGCCCATAGTAGTTGATCAGTGTTTAACTAGGAGAGTGTGTTGAATTCCAGGTGAGATTTCATCTATTTAGTGTCTTATTATCTTTACGTTGTGCAAATTTCGTTATGAGTAAGGAGAATCGTTAGTTTTCTGGTTCCTTAGACAGTCCCGTTATAGAAGTTATTGGGAGCAATACACATATCAATAGCTTTTTAATCACGTTTTCTGCCATTGAATAGGTGAGTAAATTAGTTGTTCAGATAAGTGGATCATCAAACAAATATTTTTCATTGAAGAGACAGACAAGTAGTTTAAAGATGTCAAGATTACATTCCCCGACGTGTTAAGGGGATTGTCTAGGCCTGAAATGCCGGTGACCTGTAGCACCGCTCAACGGGCATTTGGCTTATAATGAGGTGACTTTAGGTTTCTCTCAAACTCACTGGAAAAGCCGTTAACTTCTTTGTTGTTTCATCGTTGTCCAACTCAGTGGATCTTACAGCTTAAGCGTGCCCTTAAGCTGCACTCCTCCTACAAAACTTTGCAAGGGTCAGTTAGGTTGAGGTCCAATATTCAGCAGGCAAGATCTATCTACACGACTGTGCGTGGTCAAATGTGTGCATCTGCCACCGTGTTTCGCTCTCTTCATTAGAGTTAAGAGCAAGAGTGACAACCACTACTCCGAGTTAAGACAACATCCATTCAGTGATGCAATGGAGATGGGTTACCGCCTACGCCCATAATAAGCACTAGAGTACACACATAAGTGCGTCTCATGTTGTAGCCATGGCCTGCAAAAAATATTCGCCTTAAAAAGAACCAGTACAATTAAAGCAGCGATAGGAATACGTGTTACTTGTGGGTAGACTACGACGAAGTTAGGATAATAACTGATTCACAACTTCCCTTCTGCAGAGTTCATCAGAACCATTATAATTCCTCAGCTTTGGTAACAGACTATACTGGATTCTTTATAGCTTACCAGAGATCATTGAAAAAGGGATAAAGCTGAGTCCACGTGCTCGTAAAGCTAGGCCTTAAACATTAAAATGTCCCATCATCATTTCACGAATTTGTCCACAATTCAAGTACCCTATGTGTGTTTTCAAAAGATGCCTGTGGGAATGTGGACCATACCCACAGTTCCGTCAGCAGTAGTTGATGAAGAGGTGTAACATCTAGGAAAGGAAAGTGATTATTGTACCATCAAAAAGCACGACCTGCGGTTGGTAGACTCTAGGGAAAGTTGAAGGTTCTAATAGAAATGATGATATGTTATGAAATTTATTGCATTACTGGAGAATCATGTTGCCAGGAGAAATATTCTTAGTGTTTGTCCTCTTCAAGATTCCGATTGACCACTAGCACTGCAGCATAAGTAGCTCGGTTTAATGTATCGCTTTCTTAATATCGAAGGATATGTTTTTTGATAAAAAAATATTGTGTTTAATGTTATGGAAATTACTTCCTTTCTGAAGATGTTAACGAAAGTGCTAATCCCTTTACTTCCGATAAATTTAAGTGAGCTCAAATATCTGCATCATATTGTATGCAGATGTTGAGAGTGGTTGAATTGTTGGAGCGCCTCTTGAGTTTGTGTGAAATCCGAGATGGGGCTAAAAGTATCTTCAATCTACTTTTGCAGAAAATTATTCCGCATTTACTTCTATGCAGGAAACAACAACCCTGGACCCGGGTTTCCTGTCCACTACCTCCAACCACCATCTAAAGTCCCTATTTGGATACCATGGGTAACTGAGAAGACAAACAATTAACTTTTGACTGAAATTTAGCGGAACCAGTAGCCAAGAAGTTTGACAGCAGCTCAGACTATAATAGAGGTGCTGCCAAAATAAGTGTAACCATTCATTTTATGACTAGACAACTTGGGCTAAGCACTTCAGAATTGTTTCTGACACTGTCTTGATTGTACAAATGGTTAAGAGAATACTTTACAAACACGGACTCACACATGTTTTGCCATCCTCCGTTAATGCTAACTGTGCCCGGCGATTGTCTCACAATTTACCAAACTACCAAGTATCATTTAGTTACTCCTTTCTCACTTTTTATTGTCACCTCTCCTCTTTTCATTCTTAAACTTCTATCTAACACTAATTTTTCAAATCACTTATTTCCCTCATGAAACAATCTTTTCTTATCATTCGTCCGTGCCAGGTTGCCAAAAAGTGACTGCAAAGAAATCAGACTGTTGATGCAAGTTCGTAGCAAGTATGTTGGATATTGAAGCTAGCAGACAGTTTCTTGGAATCTTTGTCTATCATTTTGGAGATACTTTATCGATGTGGAGTAGGTTATTCTTTGTTCCGCACCTCAAATGTGAGCTTATATCGGGGAAATGAAATTTGTTATCAGGTTACCACACTTCTTATCCGTTTTCACAGATAATGTCATAGAGGTCGTAGAGAAATTCTGTCCAAACTAGTCTTTAAGCGTATACCAGACGAGGTTTGGGCGGTCCACAGAGCAAGATAGAGAGAAACTTAGTGACAACTTATAGTACGTTAATTAGAGATACATATGCTCTGTGATAAAACAGCCTATCGCATAGCTAAACTCTTTGCTGTGATGGTAACTGTAGTGACAGAACAAACCCGAAAATATGTAGTAGGTGCAATACTACAATCAGTTGGTAGTGATTTATTATGTTTAAAAAATCCATTACTCTCCATTTTCATGGTCTCTGAAATAGCGTGTAAAGCTGTGCTCAACATCTACCGCAATCGCTAGCCAGATTAGATCAGAGAATTCCGATATATTGGTTATCGCCAAATACACTCTTCCGATCTTCTCGACTCTGTCTTTTGATTTCTCTCGGTGGGTACGAATTGTATTAGAAGGTGTTGCTAGTAAAAGCGTTGTCAAACACTGAATGCCTGTGCCATCTTCAAACGGTAAGCATGAATTTATAGTTATTTTACTGGTTTACAGTTTCAGTTTCAGTTTGGGAAGGACAGGAGGCTTAATGACCTGTGTTAGTCCTGGGAATGGTGGTCTCTCAGTTGATCCAGCTTTCTTTTGAAACAGTCGACGGATGAAGCCTCAACCACGTGCTGAGGTGATGAATTCCACTCGTTGATGATTCGATGGGAAAGTCGATAGTCAGCTGACAAGTAATTTGTTCTCGGCTTGTGAACTTTTTTGGAGTGTCCTCGTAAATTCTCTGTTTTGGAAGACAAGAAAAATGAGGGCATATCAGGTACAAATTTGGCACTAAGCAATTTGAAAACTGTAATCAAGTCGCCTCTAGTTCTGCGATATGACAACGGGAAAAGGTTCAGCTTGGCCAGTCGAGCTTCATACGGAAGCACTGTGAAGTGTTTTTAAAAAATGTTTGCCTATTCAAAAACAGATGACAAGTAAACAATTCAAGAAAAGGTGAAAGTTTTTGAAATACACTCGCGTGATTTTTTTGTTTTAATGCATGAATGTGTTAATCAAGTCGGTTATTTGACCCGGGTTTTTCCTTAACCGGTCATGAACTGAAATTTGGTTTTTTGTGTAAGTCTAACTGTTTAATTAATTTGTAAGGATTCATGATGCCTCAGAACTTAGGTTCCATGGTTTTGGGACGCATCTTCAGATCTGTCATTTCTTCATTCCACGGTGCTTACGAGACTCGTCTTACTTCTCTAATACAAATAATATGAATAAATATAAACGTTCCTCCAGTTGTCCAACATTGACTTCACAAACCAACAGGACGCTTAGACGGGAAGTTTCCAATAATAGACGTCTGCTTAAGCGAATCCAAAGGTAATTCCTTTTACCATAGTTTTATTGCTAGGCAATACCATCGTCGGTTACCAAGACTTTTAGGAAAGCCAATCAAGCTCAGTGATTTGTTTGTGGCTGTAGTATCTCGCGGGGGTTATAAAAGAGTGTGCGATCATAGATGTTGGTTAGAAGTAGCTCGGGAATTAAAGCTACCTAGTGAATGTGCCAATGCAAGTGTTGGACTGAGAAGAATCTATTACCAATTCTTAAGTCATTTTGAATTCAAAGAATACCCTTCTCTCTCTGAACAGTTTTTGGTTCAAACACTTGTCGAACCAGATGTCACTCCTGAATACGTCACTTTACCACTTTCTTCCGTAGAGCGGAATCTCGGGATTGGGACATCGTGTAATCATGCTCATATGACTTCCGTCCAGTCAGCGGTCGATCTATTTGATCAGTCCCACCGGTCTCGTTTGTTTCCCTTGTTTCAGGCAAGTTCATTTTGTTTAATATGTCAGTTTTCAACATTTGGTTTTATCTGTTAATCTCTTACATCTTACCTGCTTCGGTTTGGGCACCAGGGCAGCATCACAGCCCTCACACAAATCAGTGTTGACTGCTACTAACCTCATTGTTGTTGTGTGGCGCATATGTATTCGGTTCCCCTTTTTATCAGTGTTTTTGTTCAAATAAATAAAATTATACCTTAAGACTTTTATATACATTTAGAATGATGACATTGGCTTTATTCCATCACCCTTACGTAATAAGCGTGTAACATCCTACAACCGTTGGTAGTAGCAACCACACTACGTCTGAGTTTTAAAAGTAAACTATTAAGTGCTTCTAGTTTATCACTTAGTAAGTTACATGCGCTTAGCTACTAAGATCTCACCACCTAAGTGCATTCATTGGAGTTTTATTTGATTTAGCAAACGATTTGTAACAAAAATAACCAATAGCAACTTGCTATATGTATGTTTACCAGAATGTATATTTCAGGGATAATATTTGTATTGTACGACTTCCTTGAAATGATCTTGAATGTATTATATTGGTTATTACTAAATAGTTCGGACCAGTTGTGTTTCTATATCAAGGGAAGTATCTTGCCAACAGAAACATTGACAACTTTGTTGACAGTTGGATATTTTAAAAATACTTGCTAGTTGATTTATGTAATGATTCCTGATGTGATTCCAAGAATAACTTGAAATGCTGAGTTGTCTGGTCATTTATACCCCTTGGTCACCCTATAAACGATTCTGAACCAAGTTCCCCAGCCGTTAATCGCGATTTCCTCGCGGACCCCGACCGATCATCATTAGTCAGACCACTAGTCAGTGACTTTATGGACGGACACCATGTTGGTCTCGTCGCTTCTAGCTTTCAGCCTTTTATGCCAGAATACATTCGTCCTAACCACGTCAATTCAGAAGCTCGTCAACCGACTCTCCACTTTTGTCGATCACTCTATCCTTAATCACCCAGTCGTTCCACAAAACACGACTGGCGTTTCACATGTACCTAGGGTCAACAACGTGCAACCCTAACGTCTTTTCTATTTCCGTAGACCGTTTTTCACAACCATAAAATAATACAGAGCGGACTATTGCTCAGTAAGCAGACCCTTATTGCTCTGAGAAAGCGTAAATCTTAAGTTAGACAGTTACATAATACTACATGGGTTTAATTATCTCCAAATGTGTGGTAACAACAGGCTGATTTATATGATTTCCTCTTATGTCAGTAAAAATAGATCCGCAAAGTACTTTCCTTAACCTTCGCTACATGCATTTACTGTCTGTTGTCGTAAACATATTTTAAAGCAATTGCTCACTGGTTTAACTGAGTGGAATTTCCGTCTGTTCCTAGACAGATAGCCTGTTTTCGCTTCAAATTGATAAGTGACTTTTTCACTTGTTTACAGGATTATAATTATAGTAATAAAGAGATTCTGAGAACCGGTCAAGATAATGATATATTTGATGCCAGTCCTAATGCAGATGAATTTCCTGATGTATTTGAACCCTCACAACTGCGTTTAGTGGAATCAGCATTGTGTTCAGGTCTACCAAATGAAATAGAAGTTGCTTTAAACTCCCTTCTTGTTTTATCTATAACTCCATCATCTGGTTCATCAACTAGTGTTAGGCTTGCTCATTGCACAAACTTACTTTCTCTTCTCGTAGCATCTGTTGGAATATATGGAGAAGGTAAGCGAAAATCATTCATTGTTATTTACATTTATAGGGAAGTTCCATTTTCTCTGTAGTGTAAGCAAATAGTGCATCAACAGTCTCAAAGAAATTATGTGTAACCTTAGGTATAACTAATAATATTTTGTCGGTTGTCATCTCAGTGAATTATGAACTTTAACTGAGTTGCATGTAATCATATTTTTTCAAACTTGCCTGCAAATACATGTATGCATATGACTACACTCTTACAGTTAATCTCAGAAGGAAATATTAAGGGTATGTTTTAAGAACAACCAAAGGAATAGATCATAAATTTGTGCTCACGATGATATGGCTTAACATGATATCAAACTTGCTGAAAAACAGAGGTTGAGAAAGCCAGTGAGTCTGTAACTTCTACTGAATTTGCAGTTGCAAAAAACGTCTCATCTCATCTGACTGCTCTTGGTCACTGATCTTCCCACTATATAAGAAAGAACAAAAATCCTGTTTTCATTGCCACAAAGGTATATTTTCTAATATAGGATCTAAAATATTAGTTTCAGTAATCATCTATGGTCTATCTGGAGTTTGTCTACAGCAGACTGGACGTCTATTTTTAGACTTAGGTGCTTCGTCTAACTCCTCAGGGATTGATCTACAAACAGATCCATTTTTCGACCTTAAGTGCTCATATGAAATCATTGTCTGTTGAAGACTGAGAAAATACAGTCTTCTGATTGCCTTCAGGAACAATCCAATCATTTTTTTGGATGCACCTCTCTCCCTCTTAATACAAAATGTTGAGTGCATCGATCACCGCATTTGGATATGAGGTCTCATTAGCCGTGGTTGATTAGTGTCTCACGAAACCTCTTCATTTGTTCAAAAGTGTTTATCAAACCTAGTCACCTTTGATTTAGGTAAGATATCCGTCCACCACCAAAAAGATGATATTGTGCAGCAGTTCGCTCTGTTTTACCTCATGTCTGAGACCTGACTGTCTTAAGAGTATGTATGAAATCTAGGAGTGGCCCACCAAAGATATGGAATTAGTCCATGAGATAGTCGAGTGTCGATTTTAACTATGTTGGTTGGTACAGACTGACCGGTTCAAGTTCGCGTGATTATCTTCAGTCGTTAGAGACTTCGACTGAAATGTTAAAATCGTTGAAAGCTGCGCCGATCCATTCAACCATTCCTTTCCCTTAGATCCTTAATTTTAAAATCATTCTATGCTCTACATTCCATCAGTTCGTTCTTTTCTATTGAATCATATTTTCTATGCCCAATATTTTTTATTACTGGTACTTCTACTACTATCATAGTATTCATCGTGATTTCATCTCACCTTGCTGACATGATGTAGTCACTCAAGCCTATTCCCATTTGTGTCAGGTTCTTCGTCGCTTTTGACTACTGACTCACTGAGATTCTTAGGAAACCTCTAGTTTTCATTTTTGTTATAGCATGTATATTTTTATTGTTAAGTCTTATTTAGTTTAGATATTATTAATTTAATGCTATACTAAATGCATTAACAAATTTCATTCTAGATTTTGGGTCCTACATCTCCTGTGATGAAACTTGGGGACGTCAGAATCAACTCAACTTTCTCAAAGTATGTTTCATTGATTCTCGCTAGAAAAATTTAGCGACTATTTGTCTGTACTGTGTTTTCTTTAACGTGTAATACATTTTCTTATCAAATAACCAGTTACGGAACTATGTATTTGATTTCACGTTACACATTAGTTATAAAGGTTAATGATGCTACTTTGTTGCTCAAACCGAAGTGCGTGGGATAGGGTTAAAACCCGTCACTTATTAGTTGGAAGTTTAGAAGTCGATAGTGACAAGTGATTATTTACATTCGTATCTATTGTATAATATAAACTAACGGTAAAAATCTAAGTGGATGTTCCTGAGACGACTTAAATAATATTCATTTAACGACCAGTTTTTCAAATAATGGTTTCATTTGAAACGGGCATATGAAAAAATTCATTATACCATTGCTTATTACATTGGAAATGTTGAAAGCGTGATATACCTCGTACATGTTAAAATGTCCTGGATTAAAATAAGAAAAAATATCGCCATCCTCTCGTAACTAAACCGTTATACAAATACTGTGAGAATTATTGACAGTAATCACTTTCCGTACCAAGATGCAATCGTTATTGCTCTCGTGATAGTCATGACCCATAGGATTGTGTCTACATCTGGTTGTGATTACGCAGTTCTGTTTGTATAGTTTGTTTAAAGTTTTTAATTTCTGCGTTTGGGCTAGAACCATATCTCCTTTTTATTATAAACCTCCTTTGTTCAGTGCTTATAATATCAAGGATATTAAACTCTTGACTGCTTTATAAAGCATATAGTTGATTCGTTAACTTAATACTAGTAATATTACCCAAAAACCGGTTATAAAACAATGTACTATACCCGGGACGGCTATTGGTTAAGCTTAATTCTCCAACCACTCAAAGGAAAGTATCAGTCAACTCTACGTTTTTCATGGGTAGTTGATCTAATCTATACTCAAATATTTTGTTTCATATTCGCATTAGATTACTGGGTGATGTTAATTCGTCGTAAACTATAACAGAATAAAGTCCCAAAACTAACACAGCTAATATGAAAAGTGTTGAGTATTTTAGAACGTTTTGTATGTGATCATTCATCCGCAAGACCTTATCTGCTACCTTCGTAAAAGTGAAATTCCTTCGATAGGGCAATTATTTTCCTGTACTAGGGTATTTAAACTAAATGTAAGATTTGTGTTTTATTGATATTGTTTGACAAATGATGTTGAACAGACATCAACATAGAGCCTGGGATAAATGTGTGTTATCCCAAGTTCCTATAACATGCGCTGGAAATAATAAGGTGAATAATGATAAACTTAAATAACATAGTAGCACTGATGAAAAGAACACCTGAACCTTGGTTATATTTAAAAAGATGGATTGAAAATTCATGTATTAAAGGATACTGAGACTCAAGATCAAGAAGAAAGATAAAAGTGAATGCATTCGTGGAGTATTATGTATGACACATTGTTTGTACATAATTTCAAAATAATGAAGAATATTGTTAAGAATTTTCTGGGATATTTTCCTTTTACACTGTTATGCATGATTTCTAATATTTGTTTAGTTAGTTATCAATTAGTTTGTTCATTAAGTAATGTGACATCCAATTTTTCATTTATTTAGGAAGACTTGAAAAAATATTTTTTATGTCATAACTTGTGGCTAATGTATAACGTAATGATAACGCCAATTAGAGAACAGTGAATTATCGATCGGACCAATGACGCATAAAACAAGTACGAACAGTCTAGACTACTTATCGGTCGTGCTTCCCATATAGCCTAGCCCAACCAGTGAAGTCCAGAACACCAATCTCAGCCTCTGCAATCTGAATCATTTATTCCAAACACACTAGGTTTATATACCAAGTAGACAAACCATATCGTACCATAAAATAGGAAATAACATTTGTACAACATTTAGCCAGATGTGGCTGTGAATGTAGGAGATAGTAATTAATGAACTGGGTATAACTCAAGAATGGTAAATCGTATAATAATAGTTCATAGATCAAAATAAAGCTCATAATAATAGGGATATGAATATGTATAGTTTAGTTACTTAACAATGATACGATAAAAATTTACGTATAGTATTGGTCCATAAATGAATCCCGAAAGTTATCATTCATTATTCTTATCTATACATAACATTTTATTGATAAAATAACTTGATATTTTGATTTCTATTTTTTTCATTCAATGAAAGTTTTGGTACAGTGTTGTTCGTGAACCGTCTGGACGTATATTCCTCCGTCCTGATGTTTTCATTAATACGGGTAAGTGAATCCCATTTATATATATATATATATATATATACATGCATTGTAGATCAATTATTTTTCTTTCTTCGTTCTGATATTCTCTATATAAATATCTATACAATTCACCTTGAAATATTTATAGAGATTTTGATTGTATTTTAAGTTTGTAAAAATCTAGTCACATGGTTGACTAAACCAATCACTTTTAAGTGTATTATTATAATATTAATGTTCGACAAGGTCACCATCATCATCATCATCATCATAAAGTTATCTTTTGTTTTCTTCTTCTTACAAGTGCAAAATCGGTATTATTATTAGTGTTATTTGATCGGGATTATTTAAAGTGCTTCGAATAGAGAAAAATCACTACATTCAATGTAGTTGCATTTATTTAACTAATAATAAGATTTTGTTTATGTAGGTCATGTAGAAGCATTAACAAGATAATTCAAGAACTTTAAAAAAAAAAGTTAAGTTTTATATTCTTCTACTATCTATATCTTTACAGTCTGTGGTTGAATCTCAATAGTTTAGACACAGTATACAGGAAATAAAATTATATTCACTTAGGTTGTACTATTACCAGTGTAAAATCTAAATCTAAATTACCACCTAGTATACTTATATGTTTGTTGTTAATAATTGGGATTTACTTTGTTTACTAGTCAATACAATGGAAGTGATTCTGTATAGTCGTTATTACATAATCCAGTAAACAGAATCTATACATATTTGCTATATTACACTAAATCACATGTTTAATTAAGTTTAACTGTTAGTCTTTTCAAAGTTAAGGTTAGGTTGAAGTCAGTCAGTCAGTCAGTCAGTAACAACGTAGAACTTCGTACGTACGTACATCTGTTCGAGTTGCCACACCACATTAGTACAGAGATGCACTTGTCGATTCAAATCCCGTAGTGATAGAGGTAATAAGAGTATAAGCAGTAATCGGGAAGATTAGGGTTTGGAGATGTTATTTACAGAGTATAATCCAGTGAAATAAATTTGGAAAGAGGAAAAAAGGGACATGAAGAATTCAGAAGATTAGAGTTTGGGAGAACACAGAGAGTGGATGCACCTGCGCCATTGCAAACGATTTTGAGCCATGTCATTCAGGGTCTCAAACCATCGGTTGCTGTCATCTCGCGGTCCCCAACCAGGTAGTCTACACCAACCAACATGACTCAGTTCACTTGTCAGTGACTTCATGGACTTGTGCCATGTTTTGGTTTGGCCGCCCCTAGCTTTCTTCCAACCTACTCCTATACCACTGAACATAGCACGTCGAGGCAGTCGGTGGTTGGGCATACGTAACACGTGTCCCAGCCATCGCAACTGATGAAGTTTCACTACGTCATCAATTGATTTGCCATCCTTACCTAGTACCCGTTTCCTAACAACTGTGTTACTTACTCGATGGTCCCATGATATATGAGCAATGTTTCGAAGACACCTATGATCAAATACTAGTAACCTACGAATATCCTCTACTCTTACCGGCCATGTTTCACTGCCATAAAGTAGGACGGGACGAACTGCTGCGCAGTAAACACGTCCTTTGGTCGATAGACGGATATCTCGCCTACGCCATAAATGACGCAAGTTGGCAAAAGCTAGTCGAGCCTTCTGTATCCGTGCTGAGATTTCGTCACACACCAAACCACAAGGGCTGATGAGACTTCCAAGATAAGTGAAGCGGTCGACACACTCAACTACTTCACTCCCTATCACTAGTTCGGGTGTCGATGTAACCCAATCCTGAAGCAACATTTTGCATATCGAGGGAGAGAATCGCATCCCGAACATGCTTGCATTGTTGCTGAGAGTGGTCAGAAGACTCTGCATTTTGTCAGCGTCTTCACCAAATGAAACTATGTCATCTGCATATTCTAAGTCAACAAGTGAACCTCCTGGTAGAAGTTCAACCCCTGTAAATTTAGATGAGGAGAGTGTTATCTCTAAAAGTACGTCAATGACAAAGTTGAACAAGAATGGAGAGAGTGGACAGCCCTGACGAACACCACTTGAGGTGATCAATTCTGATGACAGTTCGCCATAAGCTCTCACTCTACCAGTTGTGTTCGAGTAGAGAGCCTTTATAAGGTTAATGTACTTCTTTGGTACTCCTTTCAGTGACAAACACTGCCATAGAACCTCACGATCAATAGAGTCGAATGCCGCCTTAAGGTCGAGAAATACTACCATTGTGGGGTGTCTGAATGTGTGTCTGTGTTCTAGAACCTGACGTAGTGTGAATATCTGATCTATACAACCACGTCCAGGTCGAAAACCAGCCTGGTTTTCTCTAGTCTGCTCTTCACGAGCTTTAGTTAGGCGTCGAAGTATTATTGAGGCTAATATTTTAGACACTATATTAGTCAAACTGATTCCTCTGTGATTGTCACAAGAGGACTTTTGTCCTTTCTTAAAAACTGGCACAATCAGTGATTGAGACCAGTCAGATGGGATTACGTCCAGTTCCCAAATTCTACCTAAGACCTCAGTTAATCTCATTGCTAATACTGGACCACCATCCTTAAAAATCTCAGGAGTAAACCTGTCAGGGCCTGCTGCTCTCCCTCGTTTCAGATTTCCTATGGCTTTTTCAACTTCGTAAAGGGACGGAGGACTTACATTAACTTGCCATTCAGGTTGACTGGAGATCGTGGGAAACCGAAGTGTGGCTGAAGGCCAGTTGAACTGATCCCTAAAGTGTTCTGCCCATCGATCCAATCTCCTGGATTGAGAATGAATAATATGTCCATCTTTCTCTGAGATTGTTTCGCTAACGGTCGGGTTCCTAATTCCGGTTTCCTTAACGAGTCTAAACAATTGTCTGCTATTACCTATTGCCGCTGCCTTTTCCATCTCTCTTGCTTTCGCTACCCACCACTGTTCGCGATCATTGCGTAGACTTCTTGTCAGCTTGCGCTTAAGCTGACTCCGCTCTTCATTATGTTCGGAGCCAGGTGGAATGAGTTTTCGAGCATCTATCAGTGCGATAGATGCTGCTGAGATCCAGTGTTGCTCCCTAACTTTACGGTTTACCTTACTAGCAGATATCACTGCTGTTTCCACAGCTTTTCGGATATCGTTCCATGCTGCCTCGGGGTGGGCATCACATACATGGCTGCCTAACTGTTTTCCTAGTTGTTCCTGAAATATATTCTTAGCTTGACTATCATTAAGTAGGCCCTAAGAGGTTTCCTTGCAGCGTCTTTCCTACATCCAGTAAGACGCAAGCAAATACGCGCTCGCACTAGAGCATGATCTGAATCTAGGCATGTGCTCCAGAATGAGCGACAGTCTTCTATCGAGCCCCTCCATCGGTGGCTGATAGCGATGTGATCTATTTGGGTCCAACGTTGGGACGAATTAGGGGGTCGCCATGTTAAAAGATGTTTTTCCTTATGCTTAAAGTTAGTATTTGCAAGGAACAGGCGGTTATCTGAGCATAGCTGCAACAGACGGTCGCCATTATCTGTTCTTTGAGCCACGACACCATAAGATCCACCTAGGTGTCTTTCCTTATCGCTTAGTTTACCTACTTGAGCATTAAAGTCACCGGCCACTATTACTACATCCGAGCGCTTAGCTTTTCGGAGAAGGTCCGAAAGCTTTCTGTAAAACTCATCTTTTACATCATCTGAGCTGCAGTCAGTGGGAGAATAGGCTGAGACGACGAAGAGGCAACGACGAGTGTCCCTATCTTTCCGGATTCTTACTGTTCCGTTCAGTCGGACAGCGCACAAACGACTGTTTACTGGGATCCAATCTAAGAGAGCTAGTTCTGCCCTAGGACTCAATGCTATACCTACGCCGGTGAGGCCACGGGAAGCAGAATCACGGCTTCCAGATACACGAAGCGTAAATCGAGTCGGTTCTTTATTTTGGCATGGTGAGGTCAAATGAATGACGCTACTTGGATCCTGTATGCGCGTTTCGGAGACGCAGCACACATCGATGGCGCGAGATTCTAAAGTTTTAGCTAAGGAAGCCTGCTGTCCTATTTGGCAAAGTGTTCGTACGTTAAAAGCTCCTACGTGTAGTTTAGAGCGTGGTTTCAGGAGACCAGGAATGGCGTTCCACGTACTCGAATCGTTTGCCCTAGCGGTGCGAGGTGATAAAGAGACGTGAGAAGGGTTAGTCGGGAGGATAAGAGAGGTATTAGGAGGTGTAGGAAGGATTTGAATGTGACCACCTTGGTCTCTTGTGCTGTTACGGGTATGAGGGCTGATGTCACTTCCCGGCTGCCCACACCGTGGAAGGGTATTTCTTGATGAACCTGAAAAGGAAATTGGATTAGTGCTGGTCTTGACGACCTGGGAGCGTGACCGCAGAGCCCAAGGGACAACTGCTTGAGGCCGGTCGCGCACGGCCTTTTTGTGGAAGGTTTTTGACGTGTTAGCTCCGTTCTTCAAGGGGCCTTACCGCCGGAGACGGAAATCCGTGAGGTAAGGTGAGGTGTGCATTTTTAGGGTCGACCTTTTCTAACCCCACCCCTCCTTGTGGGAAGGCAGCATCGCTGTCATGCTGGTTGTCCGAGGGAAACACCTTACTGCTGTCACACCTCTCTACAGTCAGCAGTACGACCTCGCCCTCAGACCTTGAGTTGCTGCTTTTAGTCTTACCGTTCGCCAATCGACCTGCATGGCATGGTAGAACCTGCAGGAACATATGTTCCAGCCAATATAGCTCGGTTGGGTCATCACGATAGGCAAGCCCGACCACCGCGTCAAGGTAGCAGCTTCGATCGGGTAGGTTGAAGTACTTCCAGATTGTAGCATTGTGGAGATTTGACGAGCCCATAATGTTCAAATTCTGCATCTTATTTATTTAGGTTAGTTAGTGCCGTTCTGATGTAGTGTATCAAATTGGACCTAAGTTTTCTGTTACTTATCGGTGTCTTACCGATTGTGTCCGTTTTCAAAGGCCAAGTTGAGCATCTTGACCACAGATTGTACTATAATAGCTAGTCAGTTAGTCATAAATAGTGTTGGACCCTGGCCTGAATGTGTATCAGTTGAAGTTAAAACATGTCAAATCAACACATCTAATGAAGTTAGCATCTAGTAAAACTAAACATCTCGTGGCTGTTATGGTACTGTAGAGTGTGGGTGGCATATGCAGTAGAACTACAAACGCAGATTTAACTTACATTTATTTGTGTGGCATATATATTTAGGTGTTTACTTGTGCCAGAACTGATGTGTATTTTATAAATAAACCATCTGAAATAGAAAGTATAATAAACTCGATATCGACTTATTTAAACTGGCGACCATATTACAGATTGATCAATGGAATTCGACCGTCAATAAAGGATTAGATAAAAACAGCATTAAAATGTGCAGGCAAATTTGGATTAACATTTACCTGAATGTTAGGAAATTCGAACCTAATCAGAAGTTAAAAAGATGTGTTTAAAATCAAATTCAAGGTAAATTTTGATTAATAGGCTTGTGGTACATTAAACTAGACAGGGAAAAGCACTTTGAATATCAGTTTACATCATGAAACGATTTCACCTAAATAACCATTGAATACAGTGATACAGTTCTCTAGCTTCAGTCGTTTGACCAGATTGTTGTATCGCTTCCTGTTTCTCATAATTTGTAAATGGTTTTATGATACGGTGATAAAATGACCCATTTTTTATTCAATACAACACTACATAGCTCTGTTTCATGTCGTCCTTTTCAGAATACACTATCGATGAAATTGGGACAAATGAAGAAAATGTTATGCATGAGCTTTTTACTCCGTATTCCAATCAGTATTTTGGAACCCATTGGCCAATGGAAGGTTTTGAAGGTTCCCGTGTTTTGTTGATCGCCACTATTCTTGTTAACCTGGTGACTCCACCACCTGTTGCCTATGCGTCAGTAGTCGAAGATGACGATGACGAACTAGATTTTGGACCTATTATACCTTGCAATCTTTTCCCAAATGGCTTGCCTCTTGTAACTTGGCGAGAAAATGCACGTGTTATTGCAGGAAGTCCAAATGCACTTCGTTTTATATTTCTTTGTGCTTATGCACATCACTCAGGATTGAGATCCTTGGGGCTACAACTACTTTCAAGCATACGCTATCCCCTAGATCCACCTAGTTTATCACTCCCACTCGATTGCCCAGAATATTGGACACCTTTAATTGATAACGGTTGTCGTCTTGGCCAGCTAACCTTAGCATTTCTAACTCGATGTATTCTGGAAAGTAATGATCGGTGTGATTTAATTGCAGGTGAGATTTTCTTATCTTAATCTTTTCAAATCTTAAGTATGTACTGCATATTAGTTGTTTTAAGACCTCTTATTATTCATTTGCCTTTTCTTACTAACATTCTAGGTTTGATGTTTCTGGCTAATCTAACGAAAGTTCGTGAAAAAATGAATTTATCTAGTCTTCTTGTCGGTCTACCTCAAACTGTTTGGCCCAGACTTGCCCAGTTGTTATGCTTACCAGATTTGGCAGTTGTGTGTGCTACTTTAGAGGCTCTTCGTTGCTTAACAAATCTGGATGCAACGATGTGTTTAACTTGCTGGGAGTCCTGTTGCTTAAATGTAAATTCATTCGGTCAAGAAAACATTCCTTTTATTTTACTTCAACCCTTGTTAGCATTACTTACATTAGAAGGCCAGGCGATGGGTTCTCAATCGCTTCATCGCATTAGAGTAAGTTACATATTCATGGAATAAAACTTTTAAACTGATTTGTGTATCTTAATACTTTTACTTCATACATATCATAAAATATTCTCATATGGTTAAAATGTTTGATATAAGTACTCCTTGTTTATTTCCTTGTATATAAAGTAATTAAGTGTCTAGGGAAATTATCAAAATTATTCGACTTGATGCAACTGTATGGTTAATTTATACTCTCTTTTTGTACAGTTTCTATTCAGTGCATGTAATTTTACGGTTTTTTAAACCTATTTATAGCTTTTACCCCGTACTCCACAAGCTCAAAACGTTCAACCACAACTTCCTCATGGGACCGGTCTACGAATTCCTGCTCTTAGTCGTCTGTCTCCTAATGTGAATGAGCTCAATCGATCCAGGGATGCACCAGCATACACTAATGGGCAAGTGTTTAAGTCATATTTACGCCCAAAACTTCCTGTAGTACATACAGTTCCTTCTGATTCTTTTGATAATAATAATATTCATAACTCTTCTACTTCATCCTTCCGTAATTTGAAGTTCGAATCTAGTACTCATTTAAAACAATCCCCAATTTCACCAACATCCACTTGTATATCACATCCAGTGTACAGACCTCAAAGCGGAAGTACTGCTTGCTCTGGTCTTATCAACTTACTATCTTCAGCGCCACCTGCTTCATCATCACCTAATATTAATATGCCAGTTATCAATTCTACTTCTCCTAATTCACCAAAAGTGGTTACACCTAGTCTATCTGAACTGACGGATAGACTTCAAATGCCACCACCTTCCTTACCACCGCCATCTGCAATGCGACGTTCCATAAAACGGACTCATTCACGGACAAGTCTAATTTCATCTCCTACTCAAGCGGCTGATGCAGTAAAAGTGAATATTTCTTCTCCTTGTAGAACTAATCACTCATCAGGAAACATGGCTGTAACAGATCGGATTAGTCCAACATCTTTGCTGCTCGCAAATTCGTGCAATCTAAGATCCCAACCTCAAGGTAAATTTTAGTTTATACACTTACCTTATGTATCATCCAAAACAATGACACTGATACTATAGCGAATCCATCAATAAGACAATCTAATATGATATAAATGATCACTTGTGTATTGTTGATCAACTGCCGATTAAGCAGTTGGTTTTTTGTTTCTGATATAAGTAGTAAGTTAGTTAGCGAAGTTATTTTATTTTGTCCACTGACGTAGTATGCTGAATTGTTATTGGGTATTTGGCTTTTTCATCATATAGGGATTAATAGAGATCGATTTATTTATTGTAGGTACATAAGTTTTAGTTTCTTTTAAGTGCTCACAAGCACAAATTCATTGACGGAGAAATAAAACTTGAATAGTTAGATCTAACTGACAGTCACACAAACGTGTTACAAAATTTCTGGGGTTGAACTAAAGAAATTTCAATAGACTATTAAAGGCTACGTCAGTCTAACGATCACTTATCTCGCTATACTGCATAATGGGTTTAAGGATTTAGTGGGTAATGCATTATGAAATTTATGAATAATTGATTCCCGACTGGTGATTTTAGCAGTCTAACTTTATAATTGATTGTTAACTTCTCACAAAATCAAATTATTAACGTATACCTCCAAATAAAATCGATATCTGAAGACCAATACATCTTGCTAGAAGATTAAATTTTTTCTTCAAACAAAGTGACGTGCTCAAATAAGAAATATTAAAAGAAACAAGGGATTAAAAATAGAAGTGAATAGAGGATGATCACTTAATAGGTCACTTATAAACCAATGAAGTTTGATCTTGACTCAGCCCTTATTCTTGGCCGTCATTCCAAAATAATATTTTATTTTTAATGTTTTATGGGTATCATTATATTATGATAATAGATGGTCTTATTTTGCCTTTACAGGAGACTCAGTTCCTTTAGGAGTATCTATAAATTCCAAGGAAATTCAACAAACTGAGAAACATGAAGTTTGTTCAGAAAATTTTCCCGATGAATCTTTAAATCAAATAAATAATTCTCGTAATTTACTACCTCATTTGAAGCCAATTGTAAATTATGATACTTGTAACAAGAAAACCAGTAATAATAATAAGGACGAGTTAGATGACAGTGAAATCAAGCCTATTGTTAATGGTGAAAAAACTATTGATCCTATCATGGATGGTGAATTGAAAAGTCCAGTTAATACTTTTCATACGAATGGTCTTCGAACTGGTATTTTACAAGAAGCTGTTTTAGCTATTCAAGACAGAAAATTAAAGCAAACTTCTGAACAGTGTAAATCAACTATCAAATGTGTCAATGGTGTATTAGAGACGAAGCGTGAACTAATCTTAAGTACAAAAGTGAGTGTGTTATTATTGTTGTCTTGTATCTACTTTATTGAAAATTTTTATCAAGGACTAAATTAGCATGTTTGTGTAAGAAACATCATTTCGACTTGACGTTTTACCTGAGATCAATAAAAACTCCAGATTGGTTTGGTAAAGTCAGTTCTCATGTTGGATATGTATTCAGGGAGCATAGTATTGATGATAACTATTGCTGTGGTGGTTTGTAGGCAGTTATTATTAGTTCGTTATTTTCAAAATTCTCATTTCATTTCTCGGAGTTTACTTTTTATTTATGCATTGTTTTATGCTTCTACATTTTTCAACCCAATTTATTATAAATCTGTTCAAGTTACATCATTTGCATGTGTCTATCGTCTCTCTCTCTCTCTAAGTGTTAATTTTACTTGTATTATCCTTCACGTACTGTGCTCGTTCAACTGATCGATCTTCGTTTCATTCATCGAGTAAATGAATAGGATAATAGTGTGACTAATGTATTATCTACACTACTTTGAATTACGGTAGTTGTACAACTTGTGTACCCAGGCCGAAATAAGTAAAGCATAATCTAAACCTGAAACTTAGTGGCTGAATGTCGGTTGGTTCAATTGTCAAACTATCACTTCACTATCTATTCTATGGTTATGGATCATTTTGAAAGTAAATATTAGTGTTAGATACCATCACTGGATTTGATTATTTTTCCTGCCTGTTTTCAACGATCAATCATTAAAAGATTAATTAAATTTCTCATAAACACCTCACTTATGTATGTATAACTACGAGGTAGGATTATGTTTTTCTAATCATTATGAAGAGAAAATATGCATAAAATTCTGTATGTTTTCTAATAAGCCTTTTCCATCGACATCATTCACTATTTCCAGTAAATATTGGAAAAAATTACAAATAAGCGGAGAAAATAATTGTCTTCATAGACTAGTTTCTAGTCAGCCAGTCAGCTACAACATAGGACCAGGCACATATATGCATCGATCAAAGTTACCATACTGCATTAACACAGCAAGATGAACACCGGATTCATAGGAGTAGTTAGGTCAATGGTGGTAATATATATAAGAAAGATTGCATATAAGGATATAGTACAGGAAGAAAGAATTAGTTCGTAGAAAAAAAGATATGAAGCGATTAGTTTAATGGAAGACAGAGTGTATACACCGACGCCATTGTGATCGATTCTGAGCGATGTCACCAAGAGTCTCCAACCACGCGGACACCAACTAAATAGTCTGCATCTACCAACATGGCTCAGACTAGAAGTCAGTGATTTCAAGCACTGATGCCACGTTTTGGTTTGGTTTCTAGTAAATTTATGGGTTGAATTATTCATTGTAAACTTTGATTATTCAACAAATCAATGACACCAGTAGTTTAAGTCAGTCTATATTTTCATTATGGTCTTGTAAAACTTTACTGAAATATGTAAAATTCTAATTCGTCTTATATATATGTGAGTAGAGTACTAAACAGTAATCAGTCAACATGTCATACGTGAGCATTGTACTCATTTTATATAAATTGATATTTTATGGAGTTGGACTGTATTAACTGAATGCATAACGATTTTCACTTATCCAATGTAATTCACATTTATGAAAGTTGATTTTTATCCAATCGCCACTGTTATAAAGTGAGATTTGATGGATGAATTTTTAATTGGTAAAATAAAAGAAAAGACTTCTGATCATTCGATGATACGCACTAATCAGAAGTGACCGGGTGATATTGTCGTAAACGAGAACATGGTGTGGACAACCAAATGTATATGGATACAAAACTACAGAATCTCTGGTGAGACTATAATTTATGGTCGACCTTTGAGCGACGCTGAAATGACCTTGAGAGTGCCCACCTAATTACTAGAACCGAATGAAGATTATGAAACAGTCTGAAGAATAAGGACTATGATTCACATTTGATGGGTAAAGTTAGGAATTAGATTTAATGTTGTCATCACGAACTGACATCAAGTATAATGTCAAAACACTATTTAGCCAAATAAATGAATGAATGTTGCGCCAAAATCCGAGACCTGTTATCTTATACGTGATTGGTTAGTCCATAAATTATAGTCTCGCTGAATCTTTTAGTAAAATCTGAGAACCACACAATAAATACTTCATTTGCAAACTATCCATCAATTGTCCCAGACTTGCTTATTCCTTCATTTTCATACCAATCACTCTGTGTTTTCGTTCTCGTTCTCTTCGATGTTCTCAACGTTCTGCCACCAGTCATTCCAATTTCAGTTAGTGATACATACTACTTATATCTGTCGATATCAGTAGCACATACCACAATATCTGTTAACAAGAGTGAATTACTGATGTAAGCCCTCATAGTAAACTGATATTAAAAGACAAGATCACCAACCAAAGGAATAGGTTTTTTATTTATCAAAGTGATATGTTTATGTACAGAATATTAACAGAAAAATGGACATAATTGAGTATTGTGTGGGATTGAAAGCAATTACTTATGTAGGTTACGCACTGTCCAATGAGTTAAAACTTTTCCATGTCATATCACATTGTAAAATCAACGCATGGGTAGGTAGTTCTCTTTTATCGCTGTGTTCATGGTTTATATCCTAATTTTATTTTCTTGTTATACCTTTCTTTACTTATTGGACTGTTAGTTTCATATTTGGAATGACTAAGATAGTTATAATCCTCTAATATATATTTATGTTTATGCAAACGACATTTGGAAGGTGTTTTATCTGTAGAATTGGAATTATAGGCTGTTTAAATGCTAAAGGTTTAAACTTATTCTTCTTGTCATCATCGGATTCGGTTGTTACTTGTTGAATTTGGTCATTCGACTTTCGACCAGTAAACTACGCGATCAACTTGTGGACTGAATCTTCCAAGTTTTAAGCACACATAATATTTCGTCCCTTTTGTCCGTATATCGTAGTTTTCAAGTCACGTTGACTCATAGTCACCGATTTGCGTATCATCTCTCGTAATATTGACTTAGCAATGAAGACAGGATTTGTATTAACACGGAATGTAACGGAAATTTTGTTTGTTTCATTCGTAGAACTCGTCGAGTTCTTGCGATTAAGCTACATTGTGACCACTATTCTAAATTGGTCAACGTTGCATTTATTGTGACCTTACTTGACGAATGTCAACTAGTACACTGCTTAGTTCCAGAACTTCCTGTCACCGGCTTCTATTCACCCTCAAAACAACACAATTTTGAAGAAATATGTTAATCTCTTACCATACATTTTAAATCACAATTTGGTTATATAAACAGTACATAGTTATTAGTATAGGATACTGGTAAAGTTGTCTGATCTTCGTCAAAAGGTGTCTAAAATTCTGTATCACTTTTGTTTAATATATATATTTGTATCATATCAGTTTCCTTATTCTCTTTTACATAATTTAATATCAACACTCACAGGATAATTCAAATATGGATACTAACTCGAATAATGGTAAATCAACGCCTTTTGATGTATGTGAGAATTCAAATAAAAAATCGAGCAAGACTTCTTTAAGCAATGGATATTTAACGGATAAGATTCATGAAAATGAAAAAGATAACAGTTCACTATGTGAAAATAATCCATTGTACATTGCTTCTAGTGGGAATGGTAACGTCAATAATGATGATGTCAATAATAGTAAAAAAACTGATGAACTGGAGAAAAATTCAAAATTCCGGTTTCGTGGTGTACATTCTTCTCATAGATTCTTGAAGCGTCGACGAAAATGGGGTTCAAAAAATCGATTGTTCACACCCAAGCGTCGACGTGATCTGACGTCTAAACATATTGACTCGTCACCGACTTTGCATGTTCCATTAACGTTTAATCCTGTACCTGGTTCTGTTCTGGATCCTACTTGGAAACAACCTACCGATCCAGTACCAGTTGAATCCCCTCCAGACACCAGTACTAGCAGTAGTAGTAGTAGTAAGGCGATAGTCGAATCCCCCTCAAGCAATGATAACAAAAATTCATCAATTTCAAAAGATGTTATGGACAAATCAAGCAAGCATGATTGTGATGTCTCCGTGACCAGTGAATCATCAAAACGCAATTCAGAATCTGGCAATACACTTTACAATGCTAGTCTCACATGTTCAGAGGATCCATCTAAGACAGTTAACATAGAAAAACCAGTGTTGTATTTATGTGAATGGGAGTGTTGTACAGCTACATTTGAATTGAAACACCAGGTGGGTCTGATTACTTTCTATTAATCTTTGGTTTTTTTCGAAATGTTTCTTTTGGGAGCTTTTTAGGTTTTTTTACGCTAAATAGAACATCTGAAAAAAGCACCTCTGTCGCTTGAATAGAAAAGTGGTGGCTAAATTATAAATTAATATTTTAATCTGTTGGTTGATGAGTTAAAAATCTCTCCACTTCAGATTTTATGATTCCTTTTACAGACCATAGTTTAAATAAGTCTATTAGACATTTTATTCTAATTTGTTGAACCAGTACAATTCTCTTTACAATTTTTCCTTACATCATAATTTTAAGTTGGTTAAAAATATATGGAGTCATATTTTTATTATGTCACAGCTCTTTGTGATTGCAAATCAGGTGGCCTCTTCTTCTACTCTTGTACCTCAGTGACGTTCGTCAGGTCTCCCTACTATCTCAGTTTCTATTTAATTTTGTTATCGATATCCTCCTAGAAATAACATTTTATTCAGTCAACTATTCATGGCTTGATCTACCACTAGGAGATTTGCTCACGGACCTAGAACATCTAGATGTAATAGTCAAATGTGAAAAAATTCTGAACAACAGCGCTTGCATTTCTCTCCTTCTAAATGCAAAATTTCGTTCTAGGACTGGTTTGCGTCAGTATATAAACCGAAGCAGGTGGTTTTCTTAGGGGGCCACACCCGGAGCCTTCGACCTAAAGGTCCGATCCACAAGGCAGAGGAGCAACGTCAGGAGATGCAGTCCCATGGTAGCCGGTGACCAACGATAGGTTTATGCTCCACTTATCCCCTCAGGATCCCGGAGCCCATGTGCACGATTGGTTTGGAATGAAGGTTTTCGAACTCTCTTAGATGGATCGTCCCTATCCACCAACCCGGTTAAACCCTTGGACATTTGCCTTTCGTCCTCTCAATTTCGTAAACACCACCCGTCGCGCGAAAGGCAGTGAGTAGAACTTTCCTGGAAGTGGCTGTGTACGTGTGGTCATATGAGAGCATTTGGAGAGGAAGAGCCAACTCTTCTCACCCTTGACCTTACTAGGGCATTCGGGGGCAGAAAACACGCTTGGGTTGTAGATCTTTGATCGTAGGCATTGCTTGAGTTTCATGGAATGACTAAGTAAGCAATATTAAGGTAAGACAGCGTACTTAGCAGAGGTGGCAAACTGGCTGGTGAGATAGTGGATCTTCATCGACCAAGGTAGTTAGGACATGTGCTAAATATGCCTAACTACAACTGTTGTGGATGCGCAGGAATAGACCAATAATTATCATATTAAGTCCAATGGTGTCCTTGGACTTTAAATGGACATTTTCTATTGGTCGATATCTGTTCGCTTGTGAATATTGTACAAAATGTTGTTTTCTATTTTTATGGCACGATGTGGTTTGTTTGCTTGGTATATAAATAGAGTATGTTTGAAATACAATGATTCATATCTCAGAGGTTGTGACTTGTCTTCTGGACTCAACTAACTGGGCTATACAGGGAAGTGAGACAAATCGAGACTCTAGGCCGTCCGTTCGTGTTTGCGTGTCATTGTAATCGATCGATAACACAGGGTAGAAATTGACATCAATTTAAAGTCATAACAACAACCTACCTCGACAAGTGATGCTTGTTAGTGTAGAAGGGGCATGAACGAAAGCCAGGAACGATATAACCGACTTGTGCAATTAGTTTTTGAAGTCATTGATTATCGATCTGAAACATGCTAATAGATTTAGACTTACCTTGTCTACGCGATAACCTAGATTAATGGCTGGATATTGGGTGATACGTGTCAGGACTATCCATAATGTCACAGATCCCCTCAACTTCCCCTCAGTACTGAATTCAAGTATCCCTCCAAACCCACCTTTCCACTCTATCTTTTCAAATCATATTCTCATTGTTCAGTCTTATTATTTTCATGTAGTGCCAATGTGATATAATTTGGGCCAACACACATGTATTCCAGGTTCTATGTTGATTTTATTCGTCAGTAATCATATATCATGTTACACAATCTTTTTTTGACAGGTTGCCTTTCATGTTTACAGTACACACTTACCTAGCAAGGAAAGTTGGAAAGTAGATGGATCACATCATAAATGTTCTGTTCAACTTGTACGTCGTTGCTGTCGTTGGCGAGGCTGTCAGTCAGCATCACTGGCTCGAGCACCGTACGCTTTAATGACTCATGTGCTTGATATGCATTGCAGTCCAAGAGAATTAGAAGCGCGAAGATCAAATCATGCGAAGTCTAAAACTGAGTACAGAACTCGAAATGAACATTTTTCTGATGTTAATTCATCGATTGGAGATACACATCCAGAATATCCTTTAGTTGGTGATCGTACAGGATGGGGAATCATTCGTTCTGTTGAAGCTAAAAATATGCAAACTGAGCTGTTGGCTGCACAACATCATTTTCTACTTACAAATCCCAATTGTCATTCAAATATCTCAATAAATCCACTGGTTCATTCAGGCATGAATAATCCACCACGTGAAGGACCAGTAACAAAACATCTTCGAGTAACTTCCGCACTTATATTAAAAAACCTAGCAGTACATGTTGATCAAGCGAGAAGGTGGGTTTCTTTTCTAAAACTATATTGATTTATGTCTTCAAAATAATTATGTTGATATCTTAGAATAACTTTCTTTTTGCGTTACCTTCTACACATTTGGAAAACGTCATTGATTCGATTCTTCAAATCTAGGAAGCAATGTATACATAATCCGTATTGGCTTATTCCCTATATTTTGTTGGCTTACTAAGAATTCATGAATCGTGATCTTTTCTCAAATTATTGATCATCTGTTCTAATCATAAGGATATAAAGGTAGTTATAGAAATGTTCATATCTATCAATGTAGTTCAGCTGAACTATATTCCGTAGCAACTTCTTCATAAAAATAAAGAACACAGTAACCTTAAACCCCATTACCTATACCGAATTTGTGCCTCTGAAGGGGGATCTCAGATCAGATTAATTAGGGAATTTTAATATACTTGGTCTCCAATGTCCCAACTCGGAGGACGGCCGAATCTACTTTAATCTGTCGTCATTTTGTAAACGGACGTTTTAATTCTGTTACACCTCTGCACTAAAATTTCATTGTAAATATACTTCCATTCGAAAAGAGCTCATTAAACAAAATAATTCCCTCTATCAAAAATACTCGAACAATTATTATAATATAAAATACGCAAATGATGTAGTCCTGTTTGGTGAAGACGCTGATAAAACCTAGTATTTTGGTAACACTGAGCAACAATGCCAGGTTGTTTGGGATGCGTTTCTCTCCTTCTAAATGGTAGTTGTTGCTTCAGGACTGGTCTGCGTCAACACTTGAACTAAGGATAGGGAGTGAAGTAGTCGAACGCGTTGACAACTTCACTTGTCTTGGAAGTCTGATCAGCCCTAATGGGTTGGTGTCTGACGAAATCTCAGCACGGATTCGAAAAGCTCGCTTGGCTTTTGCCAACTTACGTCACCTATGGAGAAAGCCAGATATCCGTATACCAATAAAAGGATGAGTATATTGTGCAGCAGTTCGTTCTGTCCTACTCTACGGTTGTGAAATGTGGCCATTAAGAGTAGAAGATACTCGTGAGTTGCTAGTATTCGATCACAGTTGTCTTAAAAATATTGCTCTCATCTGCTGGGATCACCGGGTAAGGAATAGTGGGGTTAGATGCAGGGTATTAGGGAATGATGGTAAATCAGTTAATGAGGTTGTGAATCTTCATCGACTGAGATGGTTAAGTCACCTGTTAAGTATGTCTGAACACTGGTTATCACGACGTGCAATGCTGACTAGTGTTGGGGTTGATTGGAAGAATGTTAGGGGCGGCCAAACCAGCCAAAACGTAGCATTAGTCTGTAAAGTCAATAACTTCTGATGCAGATTACTTGTTTGGGGTTCGCGCAACTATCGTAATCAATGGTTGGAGACTGTGGGTGACATGGCTCAGAATCGATCACAAAGTTGATGTTCCTTCCTGTTTATGATTTCGTTCAAAGCTTTACTCGTAGAATTTTAAGACATCAGTTCTGTGTAATAAGATATCATTTCATAACATAACTGGAAAAAACTATCGATTTGTAGTGGTTATGTTAAAATTAAGTTTCAGTACGTCTAATTACAGTTAAACTTGGTTTTGTTCTTAAAGTTCTTTTAATTTATATTAGGTGAATGATACTACTTTCAAGTAGTTTAATCGTGTTTACAGAACTGTTATTTCCTATCAATTCTGTTCAATATTGAAATATTTTATTCCGTCTGAAAATGTTTACAAACAAATAATACCTACAGGAATTAATCTACTATGTATATTCCCGTAAATCAACTACTGTTTTTTCTCAGGCTCTCGAATTTTCTTCATGAAATGTTAAACTTTATCTGCTTGTTTTTTTCTTCACATTGTCTTTAAGATACGATGTATTGGCGGAGTAGTTTGTAATTCTTGCTCCAAGCGTACTAAAGATTATATTAAGTGGTTAGAGTGGCAAAAAATCGTTAACTTAGTTTTCGTGCAAGAGTTGACTCTCGTCATGAAGGTTTATGTGGGATCTTGAACTAATTGTTGCTTGCCATGAAATTCGAACCCTTAGAAATGTTATTACAGAGGCTGTGGAGAAAATTACAACCTATAACGTCCCGCGCTTCTTCAAAGGTCTTGGGGCTTATGAACCGTTATAGGAGGTCGGTCTGACCAAACAGTATCGTAAATTCAGATCATCCCACTGTTCATGTGGTAGCGGATTAATGAGAAGGAGCTTTAAGACACATAAATTGATTTTATCTGCCTCTTCCAGGCGTGTATTTAAAGTGTACCTGCTTGCCGAAAAACAAAAACGGTTGCGGGGACGTCATCTATGCTTTTATCCTGGGAATTCATAGGTCTGATCTATGTATTTAAAGTCTTCATGCAACGTTTGGTTGTCTATCTGGGATTAACGCTAAGTGGCGTATATACTTGCAAAGAGTGCACGTAAGGTGTATATGTCACAGAGAGTGGCCCCTAACTGCCGTCTGAAAACTTAGTAAGAATTATAATTTACAGAAGTGTAGACCTCATCACATTCCTGAAGTGAAATCTTTGCATATGCCATGGATTGGATAAACCGATCTGATTTGTATATCTCAGGTATTTATGTAACATCCATCAGTCGTCTTTAAACGAGTTTCCGGTTCCCCACTCTGCCCTGTGTACCCGTGAGAATATACAAGCTTATTCAGCCAATCGACTTTCCCGATACTTTACATGAAACAAGGAATCACAGAGACTATTCAGAACACCTCTGAAAGTATTTTAACCGCGAAGATGCTTTTTTCTCATTAGACATTGTAATTTGCATGAGGACTCATGTTTCTTGTCCGATTCCAATATAGCCTGTTAAGCATAGTTGTAACCATTATAAACACAGATTGATAGTGGCTTGAATTGAGGACGCGTGTTTCTTACTACTTGGGACTCGTCAGCTGTATGCAATAGCATCCCAATCTTACTTATATTGCTTGTAACGTAATGGCGATATCGAGGCAATCCGTCCAGGGTGCACATATGCTAACAAGGGACTGATCAATCGCAGTCCTAAACGTCAAGGGTAAGATTCAGACAACCAATACAAACATGAAAAGTTTTAATCAGCTTTAATAAATTATTTATTTTAATTTTCGTGCATTTTTTTCACCAGGTGGTTACTTAAAGAGTCACAACTTCTATCAGAAATAGCATTTGGCTGTACACCAAGCGAAACAGGATTAAAAACAAACAATGCCAGTCATATTATTGCCCAATGTTTATCTATATGCACCTTAAAACAAAATTCTACGAATTGTGTTTTATCACATCCATTAGAACGCCCAATAAACATTCCGTTATTATCTACAGACGCTTATTCATCGTTGAGGATTCAACCGAATGAATCGACAATGTATCAGTTGAAAGAATCTACTGTAGATCTAGATTCAGATACTTGTAATTAACAGTTAAAAGAAAAAGAAATTGGCAGTACTTTTTTAAAAAGTGTAATTCCTTAATTCACAATGCCTTTCCATGTCTTGTATGTTGTAGTATTTCTTCATAACTATTTTGTTCAGGTTTATTTCACTTACTCTTCCATATGTTATTGTTGTGTAGATAACAAACAGGCGTTGTTTCATTTATTCTCAATCCTTCAAGCACTTCAGGGTTGTTACCGTGGAAGGCTTTATTTCCACTTCAAATGTGTTTACTTTTTTTTTTGTACAGTTTCTAACAGTTAGCCTCACAAATTCTCTCTTCCTTTCTACATATGCACATATATACATATATATATTTATTCTTTAGTTAATGTTCACTCTTTTGATCTGTTGTGTACTTTGACAGTGAATTTTGTTGAACTGATTAGATAATTCTATTTATATAATATATTCACTGTTGTATTTCTATTATCATTATGATTATCAATTCCGTGTGCAGCTCAACTCTTATTTTTCTTTTTCATCTTGAGACGAGAATTTGTTCCCCCCCTTTTCCCCCCCACTGTTATCACACAAAAATTGTTTTCAAAACAATCTGTGTATATCTATAAACACATACATACACACAGGTTATTTATTCACAGAATGCACTACTTGACCGCTTTCTATAAATAATAGTTCATCAATCCTATATATATTATTTATTGTTTTATCTCTGGTTTGTTCCTTTTAGAAAAAAGAAGTGGTGCCAATTATCGTGATGATATCTTTTGGTTAACCTTCTACACTTCTTTTTCTTTTTTTTAAAAAAACAACAACAACAACCGAACCACTTAACACTACTGCATATTTTGTAATTATCTAAGTTGCTTATACACATACATATATATATATTGTTTTAAAGAATTTCCCAATGAACTTCCTATTATGTTGTACAGTTTCTTGATCAGAATATCCCATTTTTTTCTTTCTTTCTAAAGATGAGTAAATGTGTTTTCATACTGAACGAATACATGTGTATATCAATTGTGATATACCCTTGTTATATATACATATTTAAAGGATTTATTATTATTATTATTCTTATTGTTATAGTCCTGTTTCTTTTGTCCAAATATGTCTATTTTTTAAATGTTTATATTCCCTTGTTTTTTCCCCATGTTTCTTTTCTTCGTCTCTCCAACTTTTCTCCATATGTAGCCCCTTTAATCTTCCTATTCTAATTTATTGTTTGAATTTCTACACGATACACCAAGGTTGTACAATTTGGGGTTGTAATAATGACAGTAAGCCTGATGACGACGATGATGATGATGATGATTACGAGAACAATAATCATAGTGCATTTCAATGTGATTTTGATCAACTCTTTTTTTAGTGCCTACTCAAGTGTTTGCGTATTTTTTTTGTATGTGTCTTGGTTACGTTAGTATTATTTATGCATTTGTATGCGTAGTTATCAATTGAAATCTGTGCATAGTGGGTTATAAATCAATTTATAAGTATACCAGTACAGTCTACCCTAAATTAAGTTATCAAGTAAAATCGGAGCTTCTCTGTAAATTAACAGTAGGATTGATTATTTCTAACATTTAGGTCAGTCAGTAACAACGTAGAACTTCGTACGTACGTACATCAGTTCGAGTTGCCACACCACATTAGCACAGAGATACAGTTGTCGATTCAAATCCCATAGTGCTAGAGGTAGCAAGAGTATAAGCAGTAATCGGAAAGATTAAGGTTTGGAGATGTTATTTAAAGATTATAATCCAGTGAAATAAATTTGGAAAGAGACAAGGAGGAATCAGGAGATTAGAATTTGGGAGAACACAAAGAGTAGATGCACCTGCGCCATTGCAAACGATTTTGAGCCATATCATTCAGGGTCTCTAACCATCGGTAGTTATCATCTCGTGGTCCCCAACCAGGTAGTCTACACCTATCAACATGACTCAGTCCACTTGTCAGTGACTTCATAGACTTGTGCCATGTTTTGGTTTGGCTGCCTCTAGCTTTCTTCCAACCTACTCCTACACCATTGGGCATTGCACTTTGAGGCAGTCGGTCGTTGGGCATACGTAGCACGTGTCCCAGCCATCTCAACTGATAAAGTTTCACTACTTCATCAATTGATTTGCCATCCTTACCTAGTACTCGTTTCCTAACAAATATATTACTTACTCGGTAGCCCCAGGATATACGAACAACCCTTCGAAGACCACTATGATCGAATACTAGTAACCTACGAATATCCTCTACTCTTACCGGCCATGTTTCACTGCCATAAAGTAGGACGGGACGAACTGCTGCGCAGTAAACACGTCCTTTGGTCGATAGACGGATATCTCGCCTACGCCATAAATGACGCAAGTTGGCAAAAGTCGGGCCTTCTGTATCCGTGCTGAGATTTCGTCACACACTAAACCACAAGGGCTGATGAGACTTCCAAGATAAGTGAAGCGGTCGACACACTCAACTACTTCACTCCCTATCATTAGTTCGGGTGTCGATGTAACCCAATCCTGAAGCAACATTTTGCATTTCGAGGGAGAGAATCGCATCCCGAACATGCTTGCATTGTTGCTTAGAGTGGTCAGAAGACTGCATTTTGTCAGCGTCTTCACCAAATGAAACTATGTCATCTGCATATTCTAAGTCAACAAGTGAACCTCCTGGTAGAAGTTCAACCCCTGTAAATTTAGATGAGGAAAGTGTTATCTCTAAAAGTACGTCGACCACAAAGTTGAACATTTAGGTATTACGCCGTAAATGACTGTAACTTATGTTCAAACTACACGATTCTTAAATAGAGCAAGAACAAAGATTGGTGCAGAATAATAAATGGATTCATTTTATTTCGTTAGGTTCTCATCAGCTGCTTACAACCTAAATTATTTGAAATTCAACGTTATTACAGATATTGACATACATAAGAGGGTGATTAAGGATCAATACATGTGTATGATGATGTAGCGAAGATTCAGTTAGAGTTAATGAGCTCAGAAAATGTTTGATTCGAATAAATAAATCAATAAAGTTAGAGAGGGAAATTTCTGGAACATTGAAATAGAGATTAGAACTCATGAAAATAGATTAATGGTAATAAAGAAAGATATGAATTGAAATCAATCAGTTATGTATGATGTAATTTATATTTCAGAAAGAGTTGCAATAATGACGTAATAAATAAATAAATAGGAGCAAATTAATAGAAAGAGTGGGGGTTATTGTTACCAGGGTAAAGAAAGATTTATTACTGTCTCTTTTTGTATACATAGATCTGCAGGATAAGTTCTTGTCAGTGCAGTTTTTAATCTCATATTGATTGATCCTGTGACATCGTCACCTTTGAATTGAAGTTTAATAAAAATAGGCTTTTTATTTGCTGTAATTTCTTTCGGCTTTTTAACTTCACATTTGCCGTATTTCTCAATAAATTTCAGCGGGTATCCGTTATTCTTTAAACATTTTTTAACATTCATAACTTCCTCTTCTAGTGTATCGGAAGTACATATTCTTTCTGTTCTGTAAGACAGTGTTTTGACCAGTGCCTTTTTGTAACTGATTGGACAAAAGCTATTGAAATTAAGATAACTACCATTCCATGTGTCTTTTTTATAAACTGAACGTTGAACTGTACCATCTTTTCTTCTTTTCATCGCGATATTGAGAAAATGGAACTTGTTTTCTGTTTCATGTTCCATAGTGAAATGGATATTCGGATGTGCTTCGTTGAAAAACTCTAGCAGATTTATTGCATGTTGTTTATTATTACATACGATGAAGGTATCATCAACATATCTCGAATAATACGTCATTACATCAATCGCTCGTTTGAGTTTGGTTCTTTCGAGGTTAGCCATGAAAATATCTGCTAGGACAGGACCTAACGGACTTCTCATCGCTACACCATCGGTTTGTTTGTATATGATATCGTTGAACCGGAACTGAACATCTTTTGTACAAATGAGTAATAGTCGTTTGATTGTCCTGTCCAAAACAACATGTTCTTTGACACAATCAAAGGTCGACAGGTATCCCTTTCATGTTACCACCAACTGTGTATACAAATTTACATGTACCTGCCAAAGCAGTTACATTGGTAGAACAGAAAGGAGAGCCTACGTCCGATTCAAAGAACATATTCCGAAAAGTTTAAGGTTAAATGGATTGAACGCATTCAACAGTGCTATCGCCAGACATCTCCTTGATACAGGACATAAAGCTGATATACTGAAGTCCTTCAAGGTGATTAACAAACAATCAAACTCGAACCTTTTAAAATTCGCTGAAGCGTTAGCAATCAAACGCTTAAAACCAGATCTATGTATACAAAAAGAGACAGTAATAAATCTTTCTTTACCCTGGTAACAATAACCCCCACTCTTTCTATTAATTTGCTCCTATTTATTTATTTATTACGTCATTATTGCAACTCTTTCTGAAATATAAATTACATCATACATAACTGATTGATTTCAATTCATATCTTTCTTTATTACCATTAATCTATTTTCATGAGTTCTAATCTCTATTTCAATGTTCCAGAAATTTCCCTCTCTAACTTTATTGATTTATTTATTCGAATCAAACATTTTCTGAGCTCATTAACTCTAACTGAATCTTCGCTACATCATCATACACATGTATTGATCCTTAATCACCCTCTTATGTATGTCAATATCTGTAATAATGTTGAATTTCAAATAATTTAGGTTGTAAGCAGCTGATGAGAACCTAACGAAATAAAATGAATCCATTTATTATTCTGCACCAATCTTTGTTCTTGCTCTATTTAAGATAATAAAGGGAACTATGTGTATGAAACTACACGATTCTCTTTATAAAATTACCAACCATTAATTGCGAATATTCTAGTCAGTGACTTCATGTCATAATTAACAAGATTAAAATCTAAGAAATAGATATAATCATATCAATAAAAGTTGAGTAGCATTTCGGAGTTAATGAGTACGAACTTCTATTGTCATTTATACTACGTTTTAAGCTTCGCAGGTGTTGTT